TATGTTTTTATAAATGTTGGGCAGGACTTGATTTGCTTGTTCTGCCCTCCTGCTGGAGCACACGTCATCAGAGAAGAGATGTAATTTCAGTGGAGAAGGAGTTAATGTTTTAATGAAATATTACAAGGGCATATCGCGCTAAACCCATCTTTGGCACAGTGATCCGTTTAAAAGCCTCTGATTGGCTGTTGCGTTCAACAGTCATGTCTGTGATTGGCTATAATGCTCAACGCTTCAAATATACGCTTGTATATTTATACAGTACATTTCTAAAAATGGAGCACACTAACATGAGCACATTCTGTTGTAGATTATCTTACTGTATGGTGACAGAGGAAGGTTGTGCTGCTCTGGCATCAGCTCTGAGTTCAAACCCCTCACACCTGAGAGAGCTGGATCTGAGCTACAATCACCCAGGAGATTCAGGAGTGAAGCTGCTCTCTGATACACATCTGGAAAAACTCAAGTAAGTTGAGCAGAAACAATCATTCTGTCAGCTCTGTATGTGACAAATGTTTTCAGTTTCAGTCTTATCATAATGTTTATTATGATGAACAACAAGAATAATAATAATAATAATAATAATACAGTTCTATGCTTCAGTCTTAGAGAATTATTTAATTACACTTGCTCCATGAAAAATTACAATAATTTATTAGGCTACTGATTTGACTGGAGTCTTCATCACTTGAGTTAATGTCATTTAAACATATTTGTCTATACATTTGTTCACATTTGTAGGCCTTTAATAAGAGCAGATGAATTTTAGATATGTTTGTACCAAACAGATATGATACAAAATAAACAAACAATTATCTGATGGTCAGTGGTCAATGTGTTTACATACTACTTGTATGAAATGGACTAGTAGCACAGTTGCTAGTGGAAGAATTATCAAAATCATCAGTGTTAAATATATATTATTTTGATTTTATTTTTATTTATTTATCCTTTATTTTAGCAGGATAGTCCCATTGAGATGTAAAATCTCTTCATCCAGGGAGACCTGGCCAAAACACATAAGTTACAAACACATAAGACTAACTAAATTTTGCACTGCATTCATGTAGTGACAGATAAAAAAGTTAAAACAAGTACATGTTTCCTTTAGATTAGACCATAAGACATTTTTAAAGAGGGAAGTGTTTCTTTACAATACTCTGCAGCTTGTTCCATAATGAGGGAGCAAAAAAAAAAGAAGGCAGTTTTACTCGTGGAACATTTAAAGTAGTCATGAACTGATAAACTGAAATTCCCTTCATCTTTTGACATATAAGAGGTCATTGTACTCAGAACTTTCTCATTAGTCTAAAAACAGCTTATATTGAAGCCAATCTGCCAAAATGACAGCTTGTGGAATGTTCTTCTCAATCCAATTCACACATGTAGTGTAAATGATGAGAGAGGCAAACGCAGGTCTACACAGAAATCAAATGATAAAGATACTCCGAAGACAACAAGATGCTGTACTGTGTCAAGTTGTGGGAAAATCAGAGTCTTTGCATTGCCTTCCTTCTGATCCTAATGTTAGGAAAGATTGGATGAACTTTATTTTTTAATGAAGTTTCAGATCAGGTCAGTAAGAACTTGGTCCTTTGTTCACTTCATTTTACCACGGATTCGTTTACAAACAAGGAACAATTCGATGCAGGATTTTCAGAAAGATTGAAACTAAAAGACGATGCTGTGCCAACTATATTGAATCTGACAGTAATGTCACACCTCACAAGTGTATGTTAACTAAATTTATTACGTGGTCAGTGTTGCTTTGTCTGTTCGTACAGATCATTTGATATGTAATGAGTATTTATGCGTTTTTGAGCTAAATCACAGCAGCGTCTATCTGTGAAGGATGTAGGCTGTCAAACATACACAACTGTTTGCCAATCATAGCAGTGGGCCACGCCTATTCAAACAGAGTGTTCCAACGAGGGGGTTTAAAAACAGAACAGAAAATAGCCCATTACTTCTAAATGATGTTTTTTGATGTAAAAATCTTGATAACATTATAAGGGGATCTCAGAGAACAGTACAAAACAATAAAAAAGGCAGTTCATGACCCCTGTAAAAGAAGTTTAGCAGTAGATCTAGTGCTATAATTACATGTTATTATATAACATATATAAAATATAAATTGGTAATTTACCTAACAATTCCTTGGCAATAAACAACAGCATGTGTATTTTCCTCCTTTGAAACAAAGAGGACCATCCCACTAATTCATACAGAATACAATAATAAGTGCGTGAAGAGGCACTCGTCACAAAGCATAAGGCAGCGTGGTATACATAATCCAACTTTTTTAGTGAAGATAAGCTTGCATGCATATAGATCACATCACCGTAATCGAACACTGAGAGGAAACAACTTTGTGTAATTCTCTTTCTTGTTTTAAAAGGAAAACATTTCTTTAAACAAAATTGGTTCTAAAATAGATCCCTTTTGGACACCTTTTTTATTTTTTAGTTCTGTTGAAATTAAATTGCAAAATGCAAATCTGATTGAAATCCAGTCATATTTAGATAGTCTAAAAGGCAACGAACAACATGAAATCCGATTTGTGAAAATACGTTTCGAGCTACATTCGTATGTGGGCATTTCTGGATATCCGTTTCTATCTGACCGATCAGATCGGATTTACCGTAGCTTTTTCACGTTCTCATGCCACGTAAAACATAAACATGTCAGACTTTTTTGTTGAAAGCATAATGAACGTCTTTGCAGAAACAAGCTTGTGTTGTTGTGAACTGGAAGTCAAGCGGAAAAAGACAATAAACTGCTAGTATACGCACCTCTTTGAGTTTTAAATCCAGCAGAGACGGCAGCATGGGTCAGGGATTCCATGACTGACAATTTGGGGGGGCAATTGCCCCCCTTGCACCCCCAATGTCGCCCATGTAGGCTATATATATATATATATATATATATATATTTAATAATGTGCAGGCAAATATGCCGCTGCTCTGATTTTATTATTTTAGCAATAGCAGGAGGTTCCTTCGACAGAAATAACCACGAGCCTCTGTTATATAGACCTACAGATCAAAGTCTGTCTATCAACGTTCAAATTCTGTTGATTTTATTCCAAATTTTAAACAATAAATTTAGTTTCTGCACTCTTTAAAACAGTGTGACAGATAAAGTGCACATGAACCGGCCATCTCCATCTCTTCCTCTTTACTATTAGTTATTGCATAACTAAACATGACTAAAGCATGAATGAACATCAGAAGGTATGTTGAAAGAACATCAGAAGGTATGTTGAAAGAACTTACTAAAAAAGTATCATGTGGCATGTAATTGCTCAATTAGTGTTTCAAGTTCGCTTGAAACTTTAGAGAAAAGCATTTTCATTAATATCTGCACTGTACATATTCATTATATTTTTACTTTACTTGTTAGTGATGTCTTGAATAAGTCATGAAAACACTTTTTTACAGCCAATGTTTAAATGTTCACATTTCACCAACAAATGATTAAAATGTTGATAAAAAAAAAAAGTATTTTAAAATTATTGCACAAACATTTAAATTGCACATAAGGCAGTTTTTACAAGTAATTTACATTTTTTTTGTTTTCAGCCAAGTGCATTCTGAATTTTCATTTGTCTACAGTTTGTAGCTATGCTTTTGTCCATTGACTTGACATTGTTCTTATTATGAAATAAAATATGTAGATTATTGGATTGAGTGATAGGCAGTGGGTTTAATCAGTAACATTATTAATAGCAGGAGGAACCTACGATGAGAACTTTTTTCACAATCACAACAGACAATCAAAACACTGACTTAAACTGACTAACAGAAAGACAGCGCATATGAAATATGAATACTGCATATGAAAATCAGAGAACTTAAAAAGCTGTATTAAAGGGTAAAAATATGTTTTTGGTGGAAGATCAATTTCTCTTCCTCTTTCATGAGATCAGCTTCCTCTTTTTGGCCGGGTTACGGTTCTCCGTGTCGTAAACTTTTAAGGGGCTTTTAAACCAGAGCAAATGTTTCATGAATCACGTGTGTGTGTGTGTGTATTTCTAGTGTGGATCATGGAGGAGAATGCAGGATCACATCAGGACTCCAGAAATGTAAGTCCTCAATCAGACAGAGTTTTCTTGTTTGTAGTTTAGTTGTAAATGTGTGTGTTGTAATGTGTGTGTTGTGTTCAGACGCCTGTGATCTCACACTGGAGGGATCTCAGAGAACAGTACAAAACAATAAAAAAGGCAGTTCATGACCCCTGTAAAAGAAGTTTAGCAGTAGATCTAGTGCTATAATTACATGTTATTATATAACATATATAAAATATAAATTGGTAATTTACCTAACAATTCCTTGGCAATAAACAACAGCATGTGTATTTTCCTCCTTTGAAACAAAGAGGACCATCCCACTAATTCATACAGAATACAATAATAAGTGCGTGAAGAGGCACTCGTCACAAAGCATAAGGCAGCGTGGTATACATAATCCAACTTTTTTAGTGAAGATAAGCTTGCATGCATATAGATCACATCACCGTAATCGAACACTGAGAGGAAACAACTTTGTGTAATTCTCTTTCTTGTTTTAAAAGGAAAACATTTCTTTAAACAAAATTGGTTCTAAAATAGATCCCTTTTGGACACCTTTTTTATTTTTTAGTTCTGTTGAAATTAAATTGCAAAATGCAAATCTGATTGAAATCCAGTCATATTTAGATAGTCTAAAAGGCAACGAACAACATGAAATCCGATTTGTGAAAATACGTTTCGAGCTACATTCGTATGTGGGCATTTCTGGATATCCGTTTCTATCTGACCGATCAGATCGGATTTACCGTAGCTTTTTCACGTTCTCATGCCACGTAAAACATAAACATGTCAGACTTTTTTGTTGAAAGCATAATGAACGTCTTTGCAGAAACAAGCTTGTGTTGTTGTGAACTGGAAGTCAAGCGGAAAAAGACAATAAACTGCTAGTATACGCACCTCTTTGAGTTTTAAATCCAGCAGAGACGGCAGCATGGGTCAGGGATTCCATGACTGACAATTTGGGGGGGCAATTGCCCCCCTTGCACCCCCAATGTCGCCCATGTAGGCTATATATATATATATATATATATATATATTTAATAATGTGCAGGCAAATATGCCGCTGCTCTGATTTTATTATTTTAGTGATCTCACACTGGATCCAAACACAGCACACAAACACCTCGTTCTGTCTGAGGAGAACAGAAAGGTGACGTGTGTCTCTGAGCGACAGTCATATCCTGATCATCCGGACAGATTTGATGAGTATTATCAGGTTCTGTGTTCAGAGAGTCTGACTGGACGCTGTTACTGGGAGACTGAATGGAGTGGAGCTGGTGTTTATATATCAGTGGCTTATAAAGAAATCAAGAGGAAAGGAAGGAGTGATGACTGTGTGTTTGGACGTAATATGAACTCCTGGAGTCTTGAATGCTCTAATCACAGATTCACTGTCCGTCACAATAAGGAAACTGTCATCTCTGCTGCTTCAGACTCCTGTAAGAGAGTAGCAGTGTTTCTGGACGAGTCGAGCGGCTCTCTGTCCTTCTACAGCGTCTCTGACACACACACACTCACACACTTACACACATTCACACACACATTCACTCAACCTCTACACGCTGGATTTTACCTTTATTACAACTCTTCAGTGTCTCTGTGTCACATTAAACATTAAACTCTCACACACACACACACACACTTACACACATTCACTCAACCTCTACACGCTGGATTTTACCTTAATTACAACTCTTCAGTGTCTCTGTGTCACATTAAACATCAAACTCTCACACACACACACACTCACACACTTACACACATTCACACACACATTCACTCAACCTCTACACGCTGGATTTTACCTTAATAGTTACAACTCTTCAGTGTCTCTGTGTCACATTAAACACTAAACACACACACACAGACTGATAAATTTGTAAAATAAAATGTCATATTTACACTGTGTCATATTTCTCAGGCTGTATTTTCAGGAGTTCATTTAATTTTAGTGTTATAGAAATCAGACTAAAATTACTTCATCATCATCATCATCATCATTATTATTATTATTATTATGTGTTTGAAACCAACACTCAAGCACTGCTGGAGAAAAGTGTGTTTATGCAGCTGTACATTAAAAACATTCTTTTGAAGCATTTAACGCTCCGAGTCTCTTCATTTTTGGGTCACACTTGGTGCTTGAAATGTAAGTTTGTTTTTTGTTTGTTTGTTTGTTTTTCTGGAAAATCAATGTAATACATTTTTGTTCAGTAATATTTTGAGTTTTTTATTTTGAGTTTTGGGTAGATTTTATGATACTATTCAATAATTATATAAAATTGCAAAAGCAGTGATAGAGGGGGGAAAAAAGTGTTTATACAACTGGACTTCAGATAAATTCTTTTGAAACATTTAATCGTCTGCAGCCTCTTCATTTTAGGAAAATCAGTGTAATATATTTTTGTTCAATAATATTTTTCGATTATTATTTTACATTTTGAGAGGATTTAATGATACTATGCAATATTTATATAATTTCTATTAGTTATTTTTCCATTAAAATTAATTAAACTCTGAGTCACTTCATTTTTGGTTCACATTTGTTAATGAAATCTAAGTGTTTTTTTGTTTTTGTTTTATTCATCAGGAAAATCAATGTAATATATTTTTGTTCAATAATATTTTTCGATTATTATTTTACATTTTGAAAGATTTAATGATACTATGCAATATTTATAAAATGTTTAATAGCTATTTTTTCATCAGGAAAATCAATGTAATATATTTCTGTTCAATAATAATTTTAGATTATTATTTTAAATATTGAGGGGATTTAATGATACTATGCAATACTTATACAATTTTTCACGAGCTTTTTTTCCATTAAAATTAATTAAACTCTGAGTCACTTCATTTTTGGTTCACATTTGTTAATAAAATCTAAGTGTTTTTTTTGTTGTTGTTGTTGTTTTTGTTTTTTGTTTTTTTTCATCAGGAAAATCAATGTAATATATTTTTGTTCAATAATATTTTTTTATTATTATTT